ATTTTCCTTAAATATCTCAAAATATATTAAGCAAATAAAAAAATTTTTCAAACGAAAGTTGTTCAAATTAATTAATAGAAAAAGATGAAATAATAAGAAATTTGGATTTCCATTTAAGAAAATTGATAATCAGTAAATAAATATCTCAAAAATGGAGCTATCTATTAACACAATGTTATCGCTGTCTTATGTCTCTCTTTAAACTAAACAACTTTTGTCTTAAGGATTTTTCGATTTAACGTAGTGTTTCTGAGATATTTGAGTGGGTCCTTTAAAATGGGACAACCTGTAGAGCAGTTAAGTAAACAATATTGAACTAATATTTTTTTTAAGAGTAGCATTCAAATCCTACCAAGATTATTATCTCACGTAAGCAAGGTAAGCTTTTGTCAGCATACAGAGAATGATATGTCTTGATCCGCAGCATGTCTATTCCTTGGCATATATTACTATTTTTATATAAGCAAATTAATCTCTGCCCTTGTTTATATCTTATATAATGCGTTGTAATGTCATTAGAATTAGTTCTTATCTTGCAATATGGGAAAATATCAACTCGATAGCAAGATGCAGTTATCGAGGAGAGCGTAATTCAAGTGCCTACCTATAATGCAGCCTATAGTTCTATGTATTATAATTATCTCTATCTCTAAAAAATGTAATCGCCTCCAGTTCTATTGTTATATATGGATGAATTTGATACATGGTGCATTTTATTTTTGCTCAAAAAATATTTAACTTAAAAATTTTTGGAAGTAATGAGGAACGGGATTTAACAAATGTTTCAATTTTGCAAAATCTGAATACACAGTTACAAAGAATATGAAATACACTACAACTTTCATATAGACCATTTTTGCATATGCTTCATACTTTAAAAGATATACTCTAAAATGAAAATGGTTTTTTCATCGAAGGGTGATTTCACTCTTCTTCATCCCTCAGACTGGAATTCTGCAAGAACAAAAAATAATTTTGCATTACGGATGAACTACTTTACTTTTACACAAAGTTTTAGGATTTTTTGAATCTTTGAATTCCCTAACCTTCCTTGTTAGACAAATCAGAGCCTCCTCAGGTTCTCTTTAACGACTTAGTCTACTCGAATTCCAAACATATTCGCGACTTGGACAGATCTCTTCTCGATTTTACCACGAAATATCAGCCGTTTATTCGCAATTGTTTACTTCATTTTATCGCATATCTTGCGTAAACAGTAATCGGTTATACTCGTGATGCCTAAACTCGAACAAGTGCGATCAAGTAATCGAGATTCAACCCCAGCCGCAATAGCCTAAATTCTAGAAGCCAATTTGAACGACCAGTTCTTCTATTCAGGTCTTTTGTCGCTTCTTTATCTCCATCAAGACAGTATCTAACCTTCCAGATCAGTGAGTCATTTTATTTTTATTCTTTTTTCCTTATTTAATTATAATTTCGATTTGTTGCCGTCAGGAAGGAAATCTTATTCTTCTTTGGATCCTTACTCCTTCCTCACTATCGAATTCCCTATTTTCTACTATGTGGTTCACATTCCGCTACACAACATACACGTTGCTGACCGTTGTTATAAACAGGTATAATTTTATACCGATTATGCGAACTTATTGTACAGAACCTCGTTCCGACAATATTTGTTAAAGTCATTTGCTTTCAATTCAACTCCAATAAAATGTGCCGTTAATTTTCAATAATTTATATTAATTTTATTTTATGATTTAAATTACCTCCTTTTCCAATTCATCCCCGATTCCCACTGTTAACTCGCAGTCCAATCCCAGATAAAGAGATTGAGTTCTTTGATCTAAAAGTGGACCACCTGCCGTACGTCGCGAGTAAAGTAAATCAGTCCTTCTGGTTTTTGACTTACATAACGCAAACGTAGATACGTGCGAGGCTCGCAATCGCGGGGGAACGTTGTATCCTCTTCCAAGACAATATTGTGATTAAATTACTGTGATTGACATAAGATTGCTTTTTTACTTTCTAATGTTTATTTGTCATTAATAGCTTAAAAAAACTAAAGTAGAACAAGCATGGCTGTAATACAACTTATAAAATAATTTTATTACTACTCTAATAATTAAGAGCATATGTGAGCCTAGCGCTCATGGATTAGCGGAAGGAAAAAGGAAAGATTTCCTGATAATTTCGATAACGAATTAATTTTATTATATTATTAATAATATGTATTAATAATATTATTAACAATAATATGTGCATCTACATGTAGAGCTTATAACAGCATATATGTAATATAAATGTTATAAAATTAATAAATAATATTTTACATAATTATTGCTGTAGTGCATTCATAATCATATTTCTCTTATAAATTCCATGTGCACCCACTTGCCTCCGATCAATATCATAATTTTGCATTGGGCGATCTGGTACTTGTACTTGTACTGGTACTTGTATGATTTCAAATTCATCTCCTTGTAATATGCAAATGTTATGCATTACACAACATGTCACAACATATTCTGATATTAGATCATGTCTACTCATCGGCAAATAATGCAGTAAGCTCCTTATTCGTCCTTCTAACTGCGCGAAGCATCTTTATACTACTATCCTTGCAGATAATAAACAGAAATTGTAATTTTGCTCTATTGCAGTCAGATGCCCGTTGTCCTTAAATGGTACTAAAAGATGTTGATGCAGTTCATGTACAGAATCTCCTACTAAGTGACTATCACAAGGAAATTTGTCTTCATCGTTCATGTACATAGCCACTTTTAACTGTTGAAAGACTCTTTGACCATGTACACCGTGTTGCAGCAATTCGTTCCGCACGGGAAAAGGGGGTCCTCCTATCTGACACATTATTGCGCACTAGCTCTCGGCAGTCGCCCGACCGCCCAACTTATCGACGATTTTACCGACATTGAAATGATAATATGAGCAGCATAGACATAAGATCGTATTCATAGTCGAGTCTCAAGTCAGCACTTAAGACTTGGTTAAATCGGTCTTATTCAATCAAGACCGTCTCAAGATTAGTATGTTTCATAGTCGTGAAATAAGACGATCTTCGCGAAGAATATGTTGCTCAAGTAAGACTTATTTGATTTGAGGTTGACTTGGCGAAGATAGACTTAAGACTGTGCTTATTCTAGAATCGGCTGTTTCCGTGTTATTTCCGTTAGGTCCTTCAATCAAAACACAGGATACAAGGTGCAGTATTACTATTAAGGAGTACCATCTTATCTTACATTAGCAATGCCTGTTCTTACGTATAATATATTTCTATAAAGGGAGATCATTTACAAGAAGTGAATCAACCAGAATTAAACGATGTAAGAGAAATATATGATATTTAACTAAATATACATGATAAATATATATATATACATATACATACCCAATTAAAAATTATAGAATATGAATTAAATAAGAAAGAAGAAAAATCATAAAATTTAATTTAATGTTTCATTTTATCAATGATTTTCTTTGTTTATTAAGTTACTAAGAAATATTATTTTACTCCATTAATCAGATTTTTATAAGTTATTAATAAAAGGTCATGTTTTCTTAAAAATTATTACATGATTACAATAAGGAAATATTATTTTATTAAAAAGAGAAGATGAAAGAGTTACATAAAATGTTTTGTTCGCTGTTTAATTAAAGATGTTCTATTCAGTAAATATATATATTTGGATCAATAAAACATTACCATTTATACCAACATTGTCCTTGTCCTTTATTGATTATTTAAAAATACCTTATACAGGGTGTTTCAGAACTTTGGGACACGGATTCCGTAGGGATATAGAGCTAAGTGAGAGGAACAAAAAAGTCCTCTGCCATAATGTGAAAATCGTAATAGTTTTTTAATTATAACAGCGCTAAGTTAGGCGTTTTCCACGCCCAGCGCGGCCTACAGGGTGGTTGATTATAAGTTGCCAACCCGAAATGTGAAGGTAGATTGGGTTAAGATAAACATAGAAGTCCCATACCGTTTTGCGAGATTCGCAATAATTATCGAGTTATTAATGACAGAAATCTGAGGAATGGGAGCGCGCCGACATAGATAATTGGAAAAGCGTTGCAGCTGTTTAAGCCGCAGCGCGGCCCAGTTCATCCTGAAACTGTTGCCGGTGCGCGGCGAGGGAAAAGACAATGCGCTGCTATTCGTTGTTTTATCTCGCCGGACCTACGCCTCGCCGCATGCCGCCAACAGTTGCTTGGTCGAGTGAGCCGCGCTGTGGCCTGAGTAGCTGCAACGCTTCTCCAATCATCTATGTCGGCGCACTCCCATTCCTCAGATTTCTGTCATTAATAACTCGATAATTATTGCGAATTTCGCAAAACGGTATGGGACTTTTATGTTTATCTTAACCCAATCTACTTTCACATTTCGGGTTGGCAACTTATAACCAACCACCCTGTATAGACGCTTCGCGGCAAGCTGTGTGTATAGGGGCTGAGCGATAATACGTCTCGCGCTGACTGACGCGCCAAGACGTCATCGCGATGGCGTCTTGGCGCTTTGACGCCGCGCGATGGTCAGCGCGAGACGCGTTATCGCTCAGCCCCTACGCACACAACTTGCCGCGGAGCGTCTATAAGCCGCGATGGGCGTGGAAAATGCCAAACTTTACGTGGTTATTACTACTAAAAAACTATTACGATTTTCACATTATGGTACAGGACTTTTTTGTTCTTCTCACTTAGCTCTATGTCCCTACGGGGCCCGTGTCCCAAAGTTCTGAGATACCCTGTATACAGGGTGTTTGAAAGCTTATCATGCAGACGAAAGTTGGAGATAGATTGGGTATAGCCGAGAAGAAAAGTCATGTACCATAATGTCAAATTGGCAATAGTTATCAAGTTATTAATTAAAACATGTAAGCCAACGAGCGCATAGAAAGCGGAGGGCGGCCGCAGTAAGCACGTAGGGCCGTATTCATAGTCGAGTCTCAAGGCGATACTGAAGATCGTCTTAGTCAAAATTATCTTATTGAATGAAGATCACCTTAAAATCAATATAATTCATAAACATATATTAAGATAATCTTTGCGAAGAAGTTTTTGCCTAAGAAACTCTTATTCTATTTGAGAATATCTTCGCAAAAATTTGCTTAAGATGATACTTATTGATCATTCAGCTATTTCCGTATTATTTCTTTTAGGCCAACCAATAAAAATGATCCTTCCTTTGAGCTGAAGTGGTTAAAACAAGAGTGGTCTGTTCTTTTTAACTATATTACTACACTAGTGCAACAAGTTAAAGTGGACATGTGAGAAATGTGATACACTTGATTAGAAGAATTAACAAATTTTTATTTACTAGTTGTCTCATTGTAAGATTTCAATCTTTAAAATTAAAAAATTTGAAAATGTCGAAGAATAAACATTATACAACTGTGGAAAGAAAACTTTTCGTAGAGATATTAAAAGATTTTAAGCATGTCATTGAGGTTAAAAAAAGTGATTCTTCAACACTTCATGACAAAGAACTTGCATGGGTTGAAATTTGTAAGAGATGTAACGATTCTTCCATGATTATGCAAGAAGTAAATATAACAAAATTAATTATACTACGTACAGAAAAGTTTTGAAATACAGCTCTAGATATATTAGTGATATTAAAGTTTTCCCTTTTGCAGCGTACAGTTCAACAGCTAAAGAAACTCTGGACAAATATTAAACAAACTCAAAGAGAATTATTAACTAAAGAAAAACAAGCTCGTCTAGCCACTGGTGGTGGCCCGCCACTACCAGAAATAAACATTGATCCTGATGTTGCCATAATAGCACCACATCTTTTAAAAACAGCTCCTGTTCTGCTTACATCTAATATGACAGAAAATGAGATAAATGGTAGATAACTTTAAAAATATATTTAAAAATAAATAAAGAAACATAAGTAAGGCATATATATATATATATATATATATTTATGTATAAATTTCTTACTATTAAACACAATATAGACTGCATTCCAATAATCATTGCCAAACATTGCCAGCCTTCACAAACTATTGGTATATTCCATTTCTCGCATGAAATGCATGATGCACACATTTATCTATAGTTCATATTACACATATTATAGAAAATCTTCACATTATGCGCTTCATGCTAGAAACGGAATGCATCTTACAATTGATGTCACGTATATTAAATATTTTCAGCACTGTCAATAATTTTGAAACGGTCATAATTGCACATGCTAAAGATATAATTTTACTAGATAGAAAGAATTTTATAAATATTTATTATAATTCATATATTAATATATTTTATTTATGATTCAGAGAAAGGAGAACATGTTTTGAACCTTTTAGTAAATGATGACATCTCATCATTATACGGGAGTAATGTTGATGAACTGAATGATAAAGAAATTAACAAAACACAAGGTATTTTCGATTAAAATTAATTCAAAATTAAATTTACATATACCATACTATCTGCGAGAAGGTACATAATTTGTTAATTATATAGATTTTATTAATACTTTTATATTTACTCAATTATATACAATAGAAAAAATAAATATGTTTATTTAAAAATATTGTCAAATAATTTAGATTCATTATTAACGATTTTCAGATATAATAATGGAAGAGATGATTGACAAAGAGAACCAAGATACTAATCTTTGTAATGAAGGTAGTATAAACTATTTTTTACTTATTTTATAGTGTTAATAAGAGGAATTAACTAAATATTATTGTTTTTACAGTTTTTGAACCGAAAGAAGAAAATAAATTGGATTTTGCCTATACGCGACCAGTAAAAATAGTAAAAGGAAAGAGAAATATAAAAGAAAATTTTGTTAGCGAGGAAGATACTATAAAGATAAAAAGAATAAAGCAAATCATAGAACAAGAGAAAGATATATCAGATATAAAAAAATTTCATGAGAAAAGAATTGCTACAATGAAAGAAAATCTTCAAACAGAATTATTTGCTTTACAAATTCGAGAAGCTATTGCGAAAGCTGAGTTAGCCGAGTTACAATTACAAAGGGAGAAAGAAAATATGCGTTTTTAAAAGAAGTCTGTAAAAGGAAATATCGAAGTCCATTTAACCAAAGAAATATTATAAGAGAAAGTTATTTATTTTTAGCTGCAAGAAATAATATTAAAGTATTGAATAATATAGATTAACCGTATTATGTTAATGTCCGATAACTCACTGCACAGCCACGATGTATACACAAAATATTTTTCACTTTGTTATATTTTGTTTTATTATAAAAGAAAATTTAAAAATTTTATTTTTAAAATATATATAACAATAATATATATAATTAATATATATAATTAATATATATATATAATTAACAGTGGAAATGTGCAACAAAAAGTAAAAGACTGAATAAAATTTACTTTGTTACTTTTTGTTTATTGTATAAGTTGTGTAATAAGTTGTATAATAAACTATCTATACAGTCTCTCAATAAGTGCTTCTCGCATTACAAAACCCTCTCCCGGCTGCCAGTGTGGTTCAATTGGTATTTCTATTTCATTATTTTCTTCAACTTCTTCTTCTGGTAACATATCATTAAAAATTAAAGACATGTTATGCAGCACAGCACACGCAACAACTATTGTTGTTGAACCAATTAACTTGTTGCTTAATCCTCTAGATAAGCACGGAAATCTACGTTTCCATATCCCAAATGTTCTTTCAACAATCCGACGTGTTCTTCCGTGAAGTACATTATAACTGTAAAAAAATACATTTGTTTACTAACGTTTTATAAAAAAAAAATATATATAACCTAATGTAACCACAGAAAAATACTAACGCAATTTCCTCATCTGTTTGCGGATTCTGAATAGGAGTTAAAAGAAATGGTAAACAGGGATATCCTGCATCTCCTATTAGAATACCTGGCAACTGACGTTGAAAGTATTTCATGTATATAGCAGAATTTTGAAAAATTCTACTATCACTATGCTGGCTACCCGGCCATTCTGGAACAATGTCCAAAAATTCTGTTCTAGGCCCAACAACAGCCTACATATAAAAATATATTAAAACCAATATTTTTTAGTATAATGTACTTAATAACATTTTATTACAATTAATATGTGTGTATTTACATATGTTACATTGCATACCTGTACATTTAATGATAGATATCCCTTTCGATTTCTATAAGTTTCTTCTATGTTCTGCAATTTGGTACCAACTAATCGTACATGTGTACAATCAATAGCTCCATCAATCCCTGGTAAACCAATACCTCCAGCACGACGTCCTATATCTTTAAAAAGGTTGTGATTTTCTCTTATAACATCTGGTGTAGAAGGCATTTTTATAAACCCACTTATAATCCATTCATTATAATTCATTAAGTCATTAAGAATGGTTTATAAAATATTGAATATCCTTGCTAACAATATGGATATTCGAAATACAACTCTTGATATAGTTGGTTGCGAGACAATAATTGTATCTCCAAGTACTGCCTGTAAAAATATAAAAAAAATATATATTATTTGCATTAATGAATCCAAAAGAATTATAATTATAAAATATTATTTGAAATAATTATGATAGATATCTCAATATATCCTAGCAGGAATCATCAAAACACATCATAGAGATATCTTACAGAAGTTGTAATATCTTTAGAATATGCTTATGATATATTTTGGATATTTCTGCTGTGATATAAATTTATCATATATAATATATATTTTATATAATAACTTATTGCATGTATAATTAAATATTTTATCTTCTCTAACCTGAAAACTGCCTGTAGCATAGAACCGTAGACAAATTAACAATTGATATATTGGACGTATTGGAAGGACGTATTGGAAGACCACGATTATTATTGCGTGCAAGTCCTTCTTCAATTTCTGGCAAAATTCCGTGTATTACAGATTCTTTATTAAATCTAAAATGCCTTTTAAATTCTTTGTTACTATAAAAGTGAAACGGATCGAACCAGTCTCTAATATATCTTTTCGGAACACGCACGTCTCTTTCATCATCGCTATTAATATCCTCTATTTCTAAATCATTATGTAAATCAATTATATTGACCACTTCCATATTAAAAAATAAATTTGTTTAACTACGAACAAAATAGCTACACAAGCACTGAGCACTACTAATATCTTAAGTCTACTTTTAATATGACTTGATGAAGACCGCCTTATTTAACTATTTATACGTCGAATGAGATAATCTTGAACGACTATGAATTCGGTAGTAATAAGATAACTTTAAGTCAATGCTTATATGAAATAAGATTAGTTTATGAATAATATTAAGACGTTTTAAAATAAGATAGTCTTCGAAAAGTTTTGCCTTCAGGTTTTGCTCAAGTCTTCGCTTATTTGTTGATTATGAATGTAGAGAATGTCTTGAGACCAAACTTAAGGCGGTCCTCAAAATAAGAATCGACTATGAATACTGCCCGTAGACATTTGATATAGGCGGAGTCAGCGAGTGACAGTAGGCGAGCGTGCGCAACGAGGGGCAACGTAAGCGACAAGAGGCGAGCGCGCGCGACGAGGAGCGAGCGAACGCAAGCGACAAGAGGCGAGCTTTTTCTTTATAGCTTTTTCCTTATAGCTCGCTCGTTCCTCGTCGCGCGCGCTCGCCTCTTGTCGTTTACGTTGCCCCTCGCCGCGCGCGCTCGCCTACCGTCACTCGCTGACTCCGCCTGTATCAAATGTCTACGTGCTTACTGCGGTCGCCCTCCGCTCTCTACGCGCTCGTTGGCTCACATATTTTAATTAATAACTCAGTAACTATTGCCAATTTGACATTATGGTACATGACTTTTCTTCTCGGCTACACCCAATCTATCTCCAACTTTCGTCTGCATGATAAGCTTTCAAACACCCTGTAATTTTAACTGACAAGTTATTTCCTTCTAAGTGGTCGCCACGACAGATGACGATCGCGAAGAACGATACTCTGCAAGGATTTAACGAGAACATTTGTTATGTATTTGTATATTTATCATTGTTTTTTCAATATGTCGGAAGATGATGATTGGAAAAGGCGCAATTTCACGAATGCTTTCGAAGTGCGCTTGCATATTTAGTATTATTATTCTTCTGTTAAGTGCCGTACCTCAATGATAAACAACAAGTCGCTTATGATTTACATTCCATTAACGTGTGACGTTTGCATTTAAAATATGAATCTTGATACGTCGGATAAGTACATTAGCAAAAGACGTGTAAACAATAGCAGAGCGAAACGATTGTTAGTCATTAAAATCACGGTCATAGCATTGCTGATTGATTGTCAGATTCAAATGTCAAAATCGCACAGCGCTTCGGTATCCTGTTAAATTCGAATTCAACCAGGAATCCTTTTGCAGGTTGGGTTCGCATAATGCATATTACTTTCGCGTTCCTTATTGTTATAAACGTCTTTCTCACGACGGGACAATTCATCTATATCGATATATAAGTAAGCTAGAGATCGTCAGAATAATGTTCTCAAGCAAGAATGGACACTCATATCTCTGGTTCAGTTGTTATGACAACAGAAGTATTTTTCTCAGTGCAAACAGAATTTCCCGATGTAGACGCGAATTGATCTCTCCAATTATTAACTTTTCAAAAAAAAGTCATCAATTCAAGTCTCCAACTTAACACAATGCGTTAAAGTAAGAACTGATGTTATAATTTTAACCCACACATTATCTTATTTCAAATAGTCGCCTCGGCAACAGACAATCGCGAAGCGAGATTTCTTTCAAGAGTTTTAGCAAAAACATTCGTTAAATGTTTACATATTTATCATTGTTTTCTCAATGTATCTCAACGCTAAACAAAAAGGTAACTCGCGATTTACATCCTGTCGACACGTGATTGCTGTGTTTAAAATAACGACTCGACGTGTCGAACAGGTATATTAACGGAAGTCGTGAAATCGAGAGCAACGCGAGTGGCTAAATTATTGTCGAAATTACAGAGTAACACCACTGCCGATAAATTTGGACGTCGGAATAGCTCAACATTTCGTTAAGTTCAAATTGAAGCAAGGACCTTCTCTCAGGCAACAATGCGTATCATTTTTGCGCTGCTCGTTATAACAAGCTTCATCGTGAAGATATCTGCCGTCCATCTAAACGATAGATGTAAGTAACACTGTGATCGTCGAAAAAAATACTATTCTCCAACGAGCATGAGCATGTATAATGCTCAGTTTTCTGCGACTATCTTGTGACAGATACGCACGATCTCACACATTCGTCGATGCGCGTCGATTTTTCTTTTCGCGAACTTTCCGAATCGAACGTAAAATTGATGACTTACGCCACTTTGATATACTTGCGAAAGAAGGATTGCAAGGACAGTTTATTTTGTTGTTAGTAGCAAATTTACATATACGTCCGAAATCGAAATCCCAAATACACTTTCCACAAAGCCTGGAATCGATAAAGTCTCACTTAGTGGAGGGTGTTCCAAGTTCGGGTGTACTCTCTTCCGAGCTATATTATATGGAGTTCTACAAGGTGACTTCTTAAAACTGGTTTATTCCAGTGTTCAGGTTTAGAGATACATTTGTCTTCAGTATATCACACTTCATGATAAGTAATGACATGTAAGTAATTACTATTTAACAGACGGACACATCGGCGGATCGTTCGGTACCGTTAAGCCAATATTTCACTTGTACGACGAATATTGCCGGTTGTGTTAATGTAGTGACTTTCTACATTGTCTGAGGAGAGTGTTAAAGACTTTAAAAATGCACAAAGCAACAATCAATTCATACATCCGGACAATATTCGCCGTATAACGAAAAAAATAATAGCAACTTAGCCAACCGAGACGATCCACATGGTGAATCCGACCACGGTTCGTGACCAGCTAAGCTATCCTAAAATTGTTGTTGTCAGAGTTGATAACAGAAATCATTATATTCAGTTCTTCGCGCATTTTCCATTTGTCAATGATGATAAGCTCGACAAATACAGTTCGTTTGCAGCACCGCTCCTTGAAAGTAACAGATACAGAAGAAGTATCAATTTTTCGGACTTCACTGACTTCCTCACCAGACGAGACACGACTATTAAGGATGAAGGAAGCAAAGAACAATTTTTCTTCAATCGTGGATAATATTACCGTGGTATGCAGAAATGTTAGAGAAATGATGATTAAGAAAGAACAAAGAGGTACTCTCGGATATCTAGCTAAAGTGGCAAATTATTATCTTCTAAGAGAGTGGGGATCATTAAAATTAAACTATTATCTCGAAGAGATTGCAGCTGAAATTATTCATCTGATCTCTGATCTAGACCATCTGCAGTACAATCTTTATATAATTTTTCATGCCCAAATATGGTCATAGGACCGTGCTTCGAATGTTTTTTAGAACTGGGGATCAAGAGTTGCGTTGCAGTATCTCTAAGATAATTATTGTAAAGGATGGGTATCTATGGCGATAAGAGATTTCATCATTTCGTTAGGTTTAGTGAAAGTTATTGGATAACATATTGGGTGAGTGCAAAAGTTCGTGCGGAGTTTGTGAGTAAAAGTCACACAGTGATTAGGCAAACAAAAATCTTTATTCAGTCAATGATATATTCTCCATCGTTTTCTATAATCTTTTCCCAACGTTCTGGCAGCATACGGATGCCTCGATCATAAAAACTGCGCGGTTTAGATTCGAAGAACGAAGAGACGCCGTTTTTTAAGGCCTCCAAAGAGTCAAAGTTTTTTCCATTTAAATAATTTTGCAATGACCGGAACAAGTGATAGTCAGATGGTGCGATATCAGGAGAATACGGTGGATGCGTTAAGACATCCCATTTCAGGCTCTTCAGTTTGCGCAGCATCTTTTTCGAAACGTGTGGTCTGGCGTTGTCGTGATGAAAGACGACTCCCTTGCGATTTGACAAAATCGGACGTTTCTCTTTTATTTCTCGATTCAGATCAGTTAATTGGCGACAGTACTTGTCCGAATCAATCGTTTCGCCAGCGGGGAGAAGCTCGAAATAGATTATGCCATTGCAATCCCACCAAACAGAGAGCATCACCTTCATCGGGTGCAAACTGGCCTTTGGCATTGCGTCACCATGCTCACCTGATTGTTTCCATGTCCGTTTGCGCTGAACATTGTTGTAGAGGACCCATTTCTCATCGCCCGTCACTAGTCGATCCAAAAACGACTCGTTATTGAGCCGCCCGAGTAAAGAAACGGCTGCAGAAATTCGCGGATTATTGAGCACTAAAGTATGCAAAACATCGTCATCAATGTCAGAAGGTCGACCAGAGCGTGGCTCGTCTTCAAGGTTAAATTCTCCGCGCCGAAATTTAGCAAACCATTTTTCCACAGTTCGTTTAGCTGGTGCTTCATCCTGATAAACATCCTGAATGTTTTTTACGGCTGCGGCAACGTTTATTCCCTTCCGAAACTCGTAAGGCATAACATGCCGTAAATGCACCTTATCGATACTCATTTTTAAAGTGATATTTCTCGAAGCAGTTTGTATGAAAACAAATGATTTTTTTTTTAATAACAGCTGAAGACGTCACCTTTCCAACGTTATATAATATGTAGATGGAAATATTAATGACAACACTTTACGACGCTTATAACTCCATCTATTGAAACTCCGCACGAACTTTTGCACTCACCCAATACTTTATGAAGGGACGTGGAAAACCTGTGAGTTCTTGAGGATTAACAAAATCAGATATCTGGTCTGGGACTGGTCTGGGAAGTGACTCAGCGGATCTTCCTGACAAACAACTAGAGGACTTGGTCTAGGGGGAGATAAAAAAAGAGAAATCGGTATGTGACGTCATCGTGCTCGTTGGGACGCGGAACATGTTCGTTGAATATAACATTTGAACTATAGCGAGCAACATAAAATCAATTCGCTCTATTTATAAAAGGATCTAGAATACGCGGAGTCCGCAAGACGTAACATGATTATACTAGTTAATTTGAAAAAATTATTATAATGTATAGTGAAAAGTAATATATATATTATTTTTCGCCCCGTGTATATATATATATATATATATATATATATATATATATATATATATATACACGGGGAGTCCCAAAAGTAACGGACCACCCTAATAACTCTTCAGTATTGAAGTTTTAAAGAAAATAATCTGAATAAAAGTTGTAGGGATTTAAATGAGCTACCTTATGATGACCGTGACTTTGACCTTGACCTCTATTTTTACTGACTTACTGACTTTTGGAAATTCCAAAATCATCAAATTAACAAAAATCAGGGCACTCTTGTAACAATATATTCTTGAAACTAAATAAAGCAAGAAAGTCAAGTATTACTTTTTCTTCCGACAAATAATTAGAGAGACATCGTAAGTTAAATATTGAAAAAGTTATCAAGTTTTCCTCATATATCTCAACAAATATTAGGCAAATAAAAAAATGTTTTAGACAAAAGTTGTTCAAATTAATTAGTAGAAAGAAACAGTATAATAAAAAATAGGAGTTCCCATTTAAAAAACGCATGTTGACCTTCAAATGACCTTGAAAATAAAGGTCAAGGTCATTATAAGGTAGCTCACTTAAATCCTTACAACTTTTATTCAGATTATTTTCCTTGAAACTTCAATACTGAAGAGTTATTAGGGTGGTCCGTTACTTTTGGAACTCCCCGTATATATATATAGATGTGTACTTCTGGCTCCAGTTCTACAATAAACAGGTATGAATAAAATAAGATCATCATAACAAATAAATTACCAATCAGTTTTGTTATAGATTTTATAGCTACAAAGATGTTCATCATAACTAATTATATAAAACATAATTAAAAGAAAAAATATATTATTCAATTTCTTGCAATAGATTATAAACTATATTTTACGAAATATGGGTAAATTATCTTCGCTATATGTTACAGCAACACATACATTTTTTTTAAAAAGCGTTCCAAATATTCTGACCCATATGGTTATTTTTTCGTTTAAGTCTGGAAATAGAGCATGACTGAACAAAAGTAGCCGACATTCAAATCAACATATTCTTCTTCATATAAAAGGAAAATTAATTGATATAAGAGGAAATCCTCTTGAAATAAGAAGAAAATAGTTAGAATAACATCTAGTCAATTTTAGATGAATGATTCACTTTAATCGTTTTATCGAAAGAGATATCTTTTTCCTGTAAAAGGCTTCGCTTGGGACATAAGACTAAGGGAAAAACCACTTTACAAATAGAATATTTTTTGGGTGCAGTAACATGGATCTAATAGCCTCCTTGTATCATTGCAAACTTGAATGTTATTTTGAGACGTACAAGCTGAAACTTTCTTCACACATTTCTTATCGTCTTAAATCTTGTCATTTAATTCATTCAGACATTGCTCAACACGTTTAAACATATTAAATGATACAATTCAAGACGACAAAAACATTGTGAAGTAAATTCCATCCAACTACACGTTTATGCGCGTCAAACACACTCGGATCTGCAGGGTAACGGCACAAACCGACGTTTATAATATCCGACGACCAAATATTTTCTGCACTTAGATGCTTCATTTTGGAATCTATCATCTTTTGTAAGAAGATACCGAACAAAACCGACATCCCCTTTAGATTTAATATTGCAGATTTAAGACTGTGGTTTCCTACTTCTTCAAAAACTAAATATATTCATTCGCGCCTCCAGCTGACAGAATGTTAAGGTAAGTAAAAAAGTACCAATTTAATTTACCACATTATTTTATTCCAAATAATCACTTCGACGGATAACGGACGCGAAGGTCGTTCAAATTCGCGAGTGTCTTCGGAGCGTACTTACATATTTAGTATTATTATTCTGTAAAGTGCTATAACTCAATAATAATCAACAAAGCTGCTTGTAATTTATATTATAAAGACATGTGACGATCACGTTCGAAATATAATTTTCGTCTCAATTAAGTATATTAGCGATCAGTCATTGAAATCACATTTATAGCAATTGCTGATTGACTATCAGACTCAAGCATCAAAATCGCACTTCCTGTTAAATTCGAATTTAACCAGGAACCTTTTCGCAGGCTATAATTATTAGCGTATTATTTTCACGTTCCTTACTGTTAAGAATGTCTTTGCCATGGCGAGGCCATAGATTTTGTTTTTTCAATGCAACTTAGAACGTAACCAACAATCTAATGAACGAACTGATTTATAAAATAAAGCATCCTTCTAACGCCTCCATATTGTTGACAATTTTATCGCGTGAATATTGTGGCGCAAATATTGTAGGTAAACATTTTGTATTTTGGGAACATGTAATAAATAATTATGTATATTAGAAGAAAAATTTGAAGTAGAGTATTTTAATCCTTGATTAATTTTATTTAAAAGCTGTCTAAGCTTATCTAAAAGCTATCTAAAACGCGCACAAACATACACAAAATATTTAAGCGGTCCTGAACAGATAGCAACGTAAGTCCAGGTTATTAAAAGTCGGAAGAAATATATTTTTCATATTCAAATATTTTCTCATTCAGTTCATTATCATTCATAGTGAAAATCTACCAAACACAATTTCCCGATGTAGACGCGAATCGATCTTTCCAATTGTTAACTGTTTGAAAACTGACGTCATCAATTTAAATCTCTTAATTAACACGATGCGCTAAGATAAGAAGCGATGTTATAATTTTAACCAACTAATTATTTCGTCCCAAAAATAATTAACTTGGCGGATGACGATCAGGAAGAGAGATTTTTTGTAAGGGTTTAACGAAAACATTCGTCGAGTATTTACATATTTATCATTGTTCTCTCAATGTATCTCCGCCTCGACACTAAACAAGGACACAACTCGTGATTTACATCCTGTCGACGCGTGATCGCTGTGCTTAAGATACACTGTCGACACGTCCATAGATATGTTTACGGCAGTCGTGAGATTGAGAGCAACGCGAGTGGCTAGATTATCGTCGAAATCACACGGCTACATTACTGCTGATAAATCTGCACGTCGAAATCGCTCAGCATTTCGTTAAGTTCGAATTAAAGCAAGGACCTTTCCGCAGGCAACAATGCGTATCATCTTTGCGCTCTTCGTTATAACGAGCGGCTTTATCGCGAAGACGTCTGCTATCCCCCTGAAGGACAGATGTAAGTAACATTACGATTGTCAGATAAAACAATATTCTCCAACAAATATGAGCACGTTGATGCTCAGTTTTCTGCGGCTATTTTGTAGAAGATCTCACATATTCCTCGAGCCATGTCGATTTTTCTTCTCACGAGAATCGTATACTTTCCGGATCGATCGTGAGATTGACGACTTATGTCGCTTCAATGTACATTCAATGAAAGAAAGATTGCAAAGACATTTTATTTTGTTATTAGTACCGGATCTACACACGTGTCCGAGTTCGAAGCTCCAAACATGCTTATTGCAAAGCCTTGAATCAATAAGGCCTTACTTAGCGCAGGGTGTTCCGCGTTTGGGCATACCCGTTTTCGAGCCATATTATACAGAATTGTACGAGATGACCTTCCAAAACCAATTTATCCCTATAATGAAGTTTAGAGATACTTATATCAACGGCATATCAAACTTCACGATAAATAATGTCAGGTAAATAATTACTATCTAACAAACGGACACATCGGCGGATCGGTACTGTTAAGCAAATATTTCACTTGTACGACGAATATTGTCAAATAGAGAATTCCTACAATGGGAAATTCCAAGAAGAATGTTAAAGGTAAAAAGAGTATAAAAAATGCACTGAGCAATCAATAGACACATCCGGACAATATTCGCCATACAACAAAGAAAATGATAGCAATTTGGCTAACCGAGACGATCCGCATCGTGAATCTGACCGCAGTTCGTGTTCAGCTGAGCACAAAACTATTCTAAAATTTTTGTTTTCAGAGTTGCCAACAAAAATCGTGATATTCAGTTTTTCGCGCACTTTCCATTAATTACTGTGTGCACTAAGTTCGACGCATACGCTTCATTCGCGCCTATGCTTATTAAAAGTAGCAGATACAGATTAAGTAGCAAATTTACGAACGTCGTTGCCGAAATTATTATACGAGGCACGAATTTTGAAAACGAAGAAGAAAATGAACAATATTTCTACGTGAACAATGTCACCGTAACAATCAAAAAATTTGGAAGGATAAAGACTACGAAAGAACAAAGAGGTAGTCCCGAACGACTAATGGAGATGGCAAATAATTATCTTGAACTAGAGTGGGATGCAGTGACTTCCGAATTGACATATAACATCGAAGACATCGCAGCTGATCTTGTCCAGATCATCTCGAATAGGATTTACACGAATTTCCCAATTGATGTGTTAATGACTAGTTAAAACGCGCTGTTGTTTTGATTTTACCGTCGTGACGAGGAGACTAATTATTTTATAATGAATGTTACTCGCTAGCACTCGCTAATCATAGTTGTGCACTAGTTATTTATAATTTTGTTAGGAAAATTAGTATACGCTGCTTTGGAAAATAGTTTTTTTCTCCGGTCGAGCATAAAATGCAAACGAGTTTATGGTTATGATAGAATTCACATGATAATACACGGTGCACATAGTGTTTTTTTTATTGTACTTTCATCCGACGGATAAAAGTATAATAAAAATACCTATATGTTGTTAGCGATTTCTTCGTGAAATTTGTAACGTTAAGTTTCCCGTATATCACTGTACTATCACTTCGTCTTTCATCATAACCGATAAAACTCGCGAATTGTCGCTCACAATCATGACCATTTCGCGTTACCGACCTTATCGGAAATAATATATGTAGATCCTTCCTCGATCTAAAAAGTCCTAGACCTTACGCAAACACGACTGCTGACTTGGAATTAATACAATTTGGACAATTTTTCTTGAAGCATTTTAGAACACCAGTCGATAGTTCAATAAGACAAATTATTTTTTAGCAGTCCGAAAATAAATTCTTTCATTGAAACATCAGCTGTATCTTAAACGGCATCAGGAATAATTTTGTCCTAACTGTAAAATAAATTCGAATATATAATTATCCGGAAAATACGCCTATATTTGAGAATTTCTAGAAAGGAAAGAATACGTACAATAGGCAAGATATTTGTTTTCCTCGCAAAGGAAAATAGATATGTTAATGCGTTTGCAATATTGATATTTTTATCTTCGTGTAAATAACAGCGCTTAGATTATACAAATTTATTTGTAATTTTAACAAACGCAATAAAGAGTTACGTACGTATCAAGCGTAATTTGATATGATTTATTAATTCTACGTAATGTCCTCTTACTCTTTTTTTCTCTTTTTCTCTCTTTTTTCGACAACAAGAAAATTCGACGGCAATAGAAGAAATATTTAATATTTTTAAATGTTTTCTTCTTTCAATATATTATCGCTTGATCACTTCGAATAATATCTAGCAGAATTCATCGATCTATTGCTGTTCATTTTCCTCAGGACACGAATGACTGTCCCATTATTAATGCTTTAAAAATTAAAAACTGCAATTTACATATTCGCTTTGCAATGTATGTTCCTTCCAAATAGCCGCCTTAATTATCATAAAATCATAGGATTCCGTGCAAACTATCGGCGTATATTTACAAATTTCATATTATTCCCTTGATAAGTGCATTGGCACAATGTTAAACCACGAGGCCGCTTATAATTTACATCGTGTGTATACGTGATCGTCATATTCGAAACGCAAATCTTGACTCTTCAGACAAATATATTAACGAGAGACGTAAAAACGAGAACAACGCGAAGTGATCTATTGTCGTCGAATTCGTACATTCGAGACATTATCCAGTAACAGTGAAATTCACACGTTAAAGTCACTCAGTATTTTTACACGATATTAAGTTTGAATTCAATCAAGGATCATTTGGTAGGACACAATGTGCGCTATTTTCTCGCTCGTCCTTTTGATGAGCACGTGGTGAGGTCTGACCACGATTTAGGGATCATATGTAAATAATCGTGCAATCATCACGCAAAGTCAAAAGTTTTCTCGAACAGTTGACATTTGTATTTCCATTTTAATCTTACAAATAAAATTCTATTCTAAGTGAGATTCACGTAATCTGAGCTGTTTGTCGATTCGACTCGCTCCCCTCCGACGAATCATGTGTTTTTTCAAAACTAACACGTGTGAGAACAAAGAAATTGCAAAAGCAACATGCAAAAGCAGTATACATTCGGTCCTTAGTAACACAACTGCACTTTTGTAACTGCAACCAAGGCGATGTAGAGAAATATACAGAGTGTCCCAAAAGTAACGGACAACCCTAATAACTCTTCAGTATTGAAGTTTCAAGGAAAATGATCTGAATAAAAGTTGTAAGGATTTAAATGAGCTACCTTATAATGACCTTGACTTTGATCTTGACTTCTATTTTCAAAATCATTTAAAAGTCAACTTGCGTTTTTTAAATGGGAACCCTTATTTTTTATTACACCTGACTTTTGTAAACTTACTGACTTTTGGAAATTTCAAAATCATCAAGTTAACAAAGATCAGGGCGCTATTGTAACAATATATTCTTGAGACTAAATAAAGCAAGAAAGTCTAGTACCACTTTTTTTTCCGACAAATAATTAGCGAGATATCGTAAGTTAAATATTGAAAAGTTATCAAGTTTTCCTCAAATATCTCAAAAGATATAAGGCAAATAAAAAAATGTTTCAGATAAAAGTTGTTCAAATTAACTAGTAGAAAAAAACAGTGTAATAAAAAATAAGGGTTCCCATTTAAGAAACGCAAGTTGACTTTCAAATAACCTTGAAAATAGAGGTCAAGATCAAAGTCAAGGTCATCATAAGGTAACTTACTTAAATCCCTACAACTTTTATTCAAATCATTTTCCTTGAAACTTCAATACTGAAAAGTTATTAGGGTGGTCTGTTACTTTTAGGACACCCTGTATAAAGCACAGCACAGAATCGTTAAAGCTTCACTTAATAGATAATGTTTTTCCTTAGGGTATTCCGCTGTTCGACCCGTATTACATAACAGCTTATGATTTTACCATGTCGAGTCGATTACAACAGCAGCAAGACTTTTTCACATGCAAAGGTCTTCGGGGTAGTGGACTTCAATATAACGAGAGTCGAGTAAGTAATAGAGCAGATTAATATATGACATACAAACATTCATTCGGGACGTGTGATCCAGGAGGTGTAGGACTTATTGTAAACTCGAGCATTATTTTGACCCGTACAAGCTGCAGCTTTTTTTACACGTTACTCATGGTCTTAAATCATGACATTGAATACGTTGCATATGTATGTTAAATGATGTCTAAATACATTAAATGACGTCTAAGACAACGAAAAACGTGGAAAAAAACTTCAGCTTATACGTGTCAGAATAACATACTCGGGCTTACACTGTAAATCCGAGTGTGTTATTTCAATATGCATATGCGTGTGATTGGCTGAAACTTTTTTCACATTTATTTTGTCGTTTTAAGTTACGTCATTTAATTCATTCGGACATCGTTCAATACTTTTAAGTGTATTAAATGGTATGATTCAAGACGACAAGAATGTTATGAAGTAAGTTTCATCCAATTATACGCTCAAGCGTGTCAAAATAACACACTCGGATCTGCAGTGGAACGGCGCAAACCGACGTTCATGGTATCCGTGCAAGAAATATTTACTGTATTTAGAGTACTTCATTTTAGAATCCATCACCTCTCGTGAAAATATACCGAAACAAAATTTACTGACATCCTCCTTAGATTTGAGATTGCAAATTTAAGAATGCGGTTTTTTACTTCTTCAAAAACTAAACACATCGATTCGCGTCTCCAGCTTGCAACATGTTAAGGTAAGAAACAAAAGTTCCAATTTAATGTACCACATTATTTTAAATAATCACTTTGATAAATGACGAACGCATGGGACATTCTAATTCGCGAATACTTTCGAAGCCTGCTGACATATTTGGTATTATTTTCCTGCAACGTGCGGTAGTTCAATAATAAGTAATGAAGCTGCTTGTGATTTACATCCTATCGACATGTGACGCTCACGTTCAAAATATAACTTCCAGCACGTCAAGTAAGCATATTAACGATCAATCGTTGAAATCACAGTCACAGCATTGCTAATCAAATGTCAGATTCAGGCGTTAAAATCACATGGCATTTCGGCATCCTGTTAAGTTCGAATTCAATAAAGGACCTTCTCGCAGGCTATAATGCGTATTATTTTCTCGTTCTTTACTATCACAAGCGTCTTTGCCACGAGACCATACGACAAAATTGCAACGTTACGTAAGTAAATCTACGATCCTCGCGCGAAATAATATTTTCAAATACGGATAAACACTCACATCTCGTATTCTCTTTGCAACTAGAAATTTTACCCTATGATAGATACACGCGATTTTATTTATCGAGTCGATTCTCCTTCTTATGGAATCCGCGATAAATCAAACACATAGAAAATTATGTTCTCCTTTATTTACGCACAAAGATAAAATTGCAAATTTATTTTGTTTCTAGTAACCCCACCTGCAAACATGTAGGGGGCAGCAACAATCGCTCGATGAGTGCCTACCGCGCAGTATTGAGTCGATAAAACCTCACTTGAAATCAAGTGTGGCGCTGCTTGACACACCGTCTTTCGAGATATACTGCGTGACAAGTACACCTTATTTCATCAAGGACGACTTTATTACCATCATATCGATCGGGAGCATAATTATCTGTGACATTCCAAACTTGAAGGTAAATAATGTTTGGTAAGTCATTATTAACATGCAAATTGATACACATCGGTTGAGATATATCTCTGAATAATTCATGCATAATTCAGCTGAAGGATGATTGCCTCCATTTGGATCGACGTAAAATTGATCGGTAACTTTATTCTGCAGAAGTGATCCACATAGTAAATTCAATCACGGATCACACGACCGTAAATGAGTATAAGACTGACGTAAAATTGTTATTTTCAGTCTTGCTATAGATCAATTTACGGTGTGCAGGAGATTAGATTTGACGCATATTTCCCATTCATCAATTTCTCGGCTAACTACAATATACGAGGGTGCTCCGATAAGTACTTAGCCTACAAAAGAAAAACGAAAATTTTGGAAAAGTGGCGATTTATTTCTCAACATAGTCTCCTTTTAGCTCGATACACTTGACCCAGCGATGCTCCAACTTCTTTAACCCGTCTGAAAAATACGTTTTCTCGAGGTCTGCAAAGTAGGCCTCCGTGGCGGCGATGACCTCCTCATTCGACTCAAATTTCTGCCCGGCGAGTGACTTTTTCAAGTTTGGAAACAAAAAGAAGTCGCACGGGGCCAAATCTGGAGAATACGGTGGATGGGGCAGCAGTTCGTAGCCCAATTCGACCAATTTGACCGTGGCGAGGGCGGAGGTGTGAGCCGGTGCGTTGTCATGGTGGAAGAGCACTTTTTTCTTCGCCAAATGGGGCCGTTTTTCTGCAATTCGGCGTCGAATCGGCCCAATAATTCGGCATAATACAGCCCTGTGACCGTTTTGCCCTTCTCCAGGTAGTCGATGTAGATCACACCTTGTGAATCCCAGAAAACGGTGGCCATCACCTTTCCGGCCGATAGGACAGTCTTCGCCTTCTTCGGAGCACGTTCGCCGGGTGAAGTCCACTGTTTCGACTGTTCCTTGGTCTCTGGTGTGTACCAGTGGATCCATGTTTCGTCGACGGTCACGAAACGACGCAGAAACTCCTTCGGATTGCGCTTAAACAGCGTCAAACACTGCTCTGAAGTGGTCTCACGGTTGCGCTTGTTGTCCGGAGTGAGCAAACGCGGCACCCATCGCGCCAATAGCTTTCTCATGCCCAAAATTTCATGCAGGATATGACCCACGCGGTCTTTTGAGATGCCTACTGTCTCAGCTATCTCGCGCACCTTCAATCGGCGGTCTGTCAATACGAGATCGTGGATTTTTGTCATGTTATCCTCCGTGGTAGCCGTTTTCGGGGCACCTGGGCGTGGCTCATCAAAAACCGACGTGCGACCACGTTGAAACTCGTTAAACCAATTTTTGACGGTCGCCATCGAAGGAGAAGAGTCACCGTACACAGCATCCAAGCGCTCTTTGATTTCGCTGCGTGATTTCCCTTCCAAAAACAAGAATCGAATCACCGACCGATATTGCTCTTTTTCCATTTTTCTAAAATCCGCGGACACGCCCGCTTCCACACGCGGTCAAAACAAAACTACGAGTCCGATTCGGCTGAAATTTCGACAGTAGCCGTCTACGAGAATATACTACACGATAGTAAATTTCTCTTGCGATAGTGGCGCCATCGGGCGGTGAGGCTAAGTACTTATCGGACCGCCCTCATATATACTGCAAACGCATCTCTCACCTCTCACACAATAAGGAACAATATGATGAATATCAAAACTAACGTCATTATGCAAGGTGGATATTACAAGTACTGGAGAAGTGTCTATAAACATTTCAATGTTTATAACTTAAACTTATGCGCGTCTATTGTGCGCAGGTTATTCAATGAGCGAAATGTCTGTAAAATATAAGAATCCTTTTTCACATTGCCGGCAGTTTAATCACCTGAACATGGTAGTGCATACATTGTAAAAAATCTTTTATATTTTGAAAACACGTAAGAAAGAGTTATGTTAGAGAAGAGGTTTGAAACGGTACATTTATTTCTAATTAATTCAACATGAAGATAATACACGCGTGTAAACATCCACAAGACATATTTTATGCGGTCTTGAACAAGTAGTAACGCAAGTCGACATTATTAAAAGCTGTACCGCGTCCTGTATATTATTTTTACACACATAAGCATGTAATCGGCTAAGGTATTTTTCTATACATTTCTAATTTAGTAATTCGTTTGGACATCATTTAACACGTTTAAACGTGAAGTGACGTGATTCAAACGACGTGAAACGTATAAACAGAGACTTGTAGTGCGCAGCAGATGTAACTTCCATATTTAAATATTTTCTTGCTCTGTATATTATTATCCCTCTATTATTATCCGTCGTGAAAATTTACTACACTGAGAAAGAGTCTTGTTGGGTTAATAAAACACCAGTAACCGCAACAAATGGTTTGTTAATATGGGACAACATGATAAATGATTTGCCATTTATGATTTGTTGCTCTAACCAACAATTTTATAATGACAACAAATGCTATTGTTATGTTAATTTAACAAATCATAAATATTTTTATTTGTTGGCAATACAGAATATGAGCAAAGAGTAGAAATTAGGAATAAGCAAATCGGTTGTATTAATTCTTTTTCACCAACGTAGTAAAATACATAAAATACTTTATGAAAGCACATATGCAATTCTACACTTGAGTATATCACAATTACCAGATAATTCAAATATCGCTCCATTATATCCAATCAAAGATTGGTAGAGAAGAGTTAATAAAATAATAACTATGTGTGTTTTCCAGGAATTCGGAGAAATTCGGAGAAAGAAATAGAACAACGCATTATTATACTAATCTTTATTCTTAGCACGATATATTATATAAAATTAATAAACTATTAGGTAAGATTAAGTAAGGTTAAGAGAAATATACCTACAAAAGCTCATACCACAAACGTACTTTTACTAATAAAAAAGTCTGTAAAAGTGCCTCGCAGCTACTTAAAAAAGCTTATAAATCACTCTTTAAGAGATTCTTTTATCTGTACATGGTGTCCGGAATTTTTTGGAAATGAAAATTGTGAAGATTGATCAGATTAAAATGAAAAGAAAAGTCAAGTACCATTTTACAAAAATCGCAATAGTTATCAAGTTATTAATAATTGAAAATGGCTGAAAAATCTAAAAGCTCTTTTAATTGATAACTTGAAAACTTACCTACTTATTTCCAAAATAGTAAAGAAATTTTTTGTTCAGAATGACCTAATTTACAATTATATATCGGCTATTATCTAGCGATAGATGTGAGTCTAGCGATATATTGAACTTTGAATCCTGTATCTTAAACCTGGCGCTAGGCACAATAGCCCTCATATAATTGTAGATTAGGACATTCTGAAAAATTATTTACCATTTTGCAAATTACTCCAATTTTAAAGTTATCGATTAAAAGAACCTTTAGGTTTCCCAGCCATTTTCAATAATTAATGACTTAATAACTATTGCGATTTTTACAAAATAGTACTTAACTTTTCTTTTCAGTTAAGTCTGAACAATCATTACAATTTTTCATTTCCTAAATAACATGGACATCCTCTACATGACAGTTCATAATATAGATCCCAAAAGAGTCACATACATGTATATATTATACCATTACAATGTTGCTATTATTTTTATTAGAAATTGTACATCCAACAAACATATATGATTTGCATCTCCAGCGATGTATACTTGTTAAAATTATACGTACAAATAACGAAAAATGATTTGTTACTATTTGATTTATTTCCCATCCAATTATTAAACAGCAAACGTTTATTTATTATGACAACAGGTGCCTTTTTCTGAGTGCAAACAAAATTTACCGATGTAGACGCGAATTGATCTTTCCGATTGTTAACCTTTCAAAAACTGATGTCATCAATTCAAGTCGCCAGTTTAACATAATGCGTTAAGATAATATAATAACCAACGTTATAATTATAATTTTAGTCGACAAATTATTTCATTCCAAATAATCGCCTCGGCGGATGACAATCGTGAAGGGAGACTTTCTGCAAGAATTTAGCGAAAACATTCGTCAAGTACTTACATATTTATCATTTTCTCAACATATTTCTACGCTAAACAAAGAGGTAATTCGTGATTTACATCTTGTCGACACGTGATCGCTATGTTTAAAATATGCTCTTGACGTGCCGAACTGATATGTTAACGGAAGTCGTGAAATCGGAAACAACGCGAAGTGGTTGGACTATTATCGAAATCACACAGTTACACTACTGTCAATAAATCTGCATGTCGAAATCGCTCAGCATTTCGATAAGTTCGAATTGAAGCAAGGACCTTTCCGCAAGCAACAATGCGTATCACAATTGTCCTCCTCGTTATAACGAGCGGCTTGATCGCGAAGATGTCTGCCTTCCACGTAAGGAACATGTGTAAGTAACACTGCGATCGAATAAGAGAACCGGTGTGCGAGAACCGCACACTTTCCGGATCAAACGAGAGATTGTCGATTTACATCGCTTTGATATACGTGCTTTAATATACGTGCGAAAGAAAGATTGCAAGACCATTTTATTTTGTTGTTAGTACCGTATCTACACACATGTCCGAGATCGAACCTCTAAATATGCTTACCGCGAAGCTTGGAATCGATGAGGCCTTACTTAGAGTATGGTATTTCGAGCTTGGGCATACCCGCTTTCGAGCCATATTATGTATCATATTACGAGATGACCTTACATAACAAGTTTTACGCTATGATAAAGTTTAGAGATACATATATCAACGGTATATCAGACTTCAGAATAAATAATGTCATGTAAGTAATTACTATTTAACAGACGAACATATCGACGGATCGTTCAGCAGCGTTAAGCCAATATCTCACTTGTCACGACGAAATATTGTCGGATAGAGAATTCCTACAGTACCCGAGGAAATTGTTAAAGACCTTAAAAATGCTCTAAGCTATCATTTGACATATCCAGACAATATTCACCGTATGACAAAGGAAATGATAGCAACTTGGCCAACCAAAACGATCCACATGGTGAATTCATCGAGCGATCGATGAGCATAAAACTATCTTAAAATTGTTGTTTTCAAACTTTCAGATAGGAATCGTTATATTCAGTTTCTCGCACACTTTCCATTCATTACTCTATACACTATATTCGACGCATACGTCTCGTTCGAGTCTAAACTTATTAAAAGTAGCATATACAGATTAGTGTAGCAATCTTGTGAACGTCTATACCTATTGGGTATTAAACTTAATTTTAAAAGATTTACAAGAAATGGTGCAATGAGCACCTAATGGCATCGGCCCATACTGAAGTCAACTTCATATGAAAGCCCTGTCATTAGGCTTTAAAAATCAGTATATTTCATTTGTTCAAAGTGTAAATAACATATTTTTTTAGCGCATTCAATATGTCGAGTTTTGTGTCAACAAAACGCAATTTGCGGAAAGCGTTACTTTTTTCTTTCCATTTGAAAAAATCGGCAGCTGAAAGTCTTTGTTTGCTGTCCGAAGCTTATGGGGATTATGCTCCATCGATCTCAACTTGTGAGTACTGGTTTAAACGATTCAAAAGTGGAGATTTTTATTTGGAAGATAAGGAACTCTGTGGTCAACCGAAAAAGTTTAAAGACGAAGAGTTGAAAGCATCGCTGGACGAAAATCAATGTCAAACGCTTGAGGAATTGGCAGAAGCATTAAATGTCCAACCAAACCAAAATGGCCGTCTCTAAACGTTTGAAACGACCAGAATACGTCAAAAGACACGACAAAGTGATTTTCCAGCATGACAACGCTTGGCCACATGTTGCTAAACCGGTGAAAGAAACGCTAGAGCTGCTCGGATAGGATGTCCTACCCCACCCGCCGTATTTACCAGACATTGCTCCTTCTAATTTCCACTTGTTTCGATCCATGCAGAATCACTTTTCTGCCCAGCACATCAGTTCTTTAGGAGATATAAAAAAATGGCTCGATTCATGGATAACCACAAAAGACAAGTCGTTCTTGCGCCAAGGAATCCGCCTTTTACTAGAAAGATAGGAAAAAGTTATAGCTAACAATGGACAATATTTTGAATAACATGTACTTATCACTTTGTTTCAAAATAAACGTTTATTTTCACAAAAAAATCTTTTAAAATTAAATTTTATACCCAATATATTAGCGTACAAAGCACGAATTTTGGAACTGAAGAAGACGATAAATTATATTTCTACATAAACAATGTCATCGTGGTAATCGGGAAATTTGGAACCATAATGACTAAAGAACAACTTGAAAGTAACCCCGATTACCTAATGCAGTTAGCAAATGAATATCTTGCAGTTGAGTGGAATAAAGTAACTCCCGAAATGAGGCATAACATCAAAGACATCGCAGCTCGCCTTATCCAATCTATTTCGAATAAAATCTACAAGAGTTTCCGAGTACTGTTTCCGAGTTAAGTCCGAGTACTGTTTCCCAATTCGTACGTTAAAGATTCCTTAAAATGCGTTGTTGTTTTGATTTTATCATCATGACGAGGAGACTAATTATTTTATGAGTGTCACTTGCTAGCACAATCAGATGTATACCATTTATTTATTATTTTGTTACGAAAATTCGTATACGCTACTTTGGAAAATGGCTTTTTCTTCCGATCGAGTTTGGTGCGCATCAAATGCAAACGAGTTTGCGGTTGTAATAGAATTTGCATGATAATGCACATAATGTCTCTTTATTGTACTTTCATCCAATGGATGAAAGTATGATAAAAATACTTATGTTTCTCGCGACTTTTTCGTTAAATTTACAACGTTAGATATCTCGTGTACTATCACTCCGATTTTTTCATCATAACCGATCAAACTTGCGATTTGTCACTCGCAATCATGATCATTTCGCGTTACCGACCTTATCGGAAATAATATATGTAGATCCTTCCTAGACCTAAAGGTCCTAGACCTTACGCAAACACGACTGCTGACTTGCAATTGATATAATTTGGACAATTCCTTCTCGAAGCATTTCACAACACCGGTCGATAGTTCAATAGGAAAAATTATTTTTTAGCTGTCCGAAAATAAATTCTTTTATTGGAGCATTAGCTTTCTCTTAAATGGCAACCAGAATAATTTTCTCGTAACTGTAAAATAAATTCGGATATATAATTATCCGGAAAGTACGCGTATACTTGAGAATTCTTAGAAAAAAAAGAAAATATGCAATAGGCAATATATCTGCTTTCTTCGCAAAGAACAAAAAATATGTTAATGCGTTTGCAATATTGATATTTTTATCTTTGTGTGAATAACGGTGCTTAAATTATCACAAATTTATTTGTAATTTTAACAAACACAATAAAGAGTTATACACGTATCAAATGAAATTTGATGTAATATATTAAATCTACGTAACGTCCTCTTACTCTTCTTTTTTCTTTTTCTACCTCTCTTCGACAACGTGAAAATTCGACAGCAACAAAAGAAATATTTAACATTTTTAGTTGTTTTTCTCTCTCAATATATTATTGCCTGATGCCTTCGAATAATATCAAGCAGAATTCGTCGATTTATTACAGTTAATTTTCTTCAGGACGCGAATGATTGTCCCATAATTAATGCTTCAAAAATGAATAACTGCATTTTATATATTCGCTTCGCAATGTATGTTCCTTCCAAGTAGTCGCTTTAAGTAAAATCATAGAATTTCGTATGAACTTTCGACGTGTATTTACACAAGTTCCATATTATTCCCACAATAAATGCCACATTGTGGCATTGCCACAATGTTAAACCACGAAGCCGCTTGTAATTTACATCGTGTGTATACGCGATTGTTGTGTTCGAAACGCGAGTTTAGCTCAAACAAATATTGTATATTAACGAGAGACGTGGAAACGAGAACAACGCGAAGTGATCAATTATCATCGAATTTGCATATTCGGAACATTATGCAGTAACAGTGAAATTCGCGCGT